AGTTGCTGTGCAGGAGCTAGGCTGTAGGCAGCACTGTGGAAAGTCAGTAATCAGCTTTCTCCCGGATGGACTAGCTCCTGAGAGAGTCAAGAAGGCCAGCCTAGAGTTATTCTCAAGATTTACGTGTAGGAAGTTTCTAATTGTTTTACTTTTGCCCTCCAGCAGCTGGAGTTGCTGCCTATGCTGAATGAGTAGGTTAGCCTCGGGGTCTATTTACTCACTGAGGACAGTCTGCCCTGCCCAGGTGGAGCTCCCTCTGCTTGGGAAGGACAACATTCCCCAGGGGTGGAGCTGAGCCCCACAGGTCAGTTTCCTATGACCTGTTGAATGGCTCCTACTGACTTATTCTAAGGCCTGAGTTAGATGTTAGCTGCTCTGGCCTGGTACTTCTCAATATCAAAGATGGAGTTCTTCTCCAGGGATGAGGGATGAGCTACCATTCCACTGCTGCTCTATGAGAAGGAGTGAGGATGTCTTGAGGATACTAGCATCTTTCCCTTAGTTTCTGGGCCATCTATGGTATGTGACTATCTATGGTCAGCAGGATGAAGATTTTCACTCTTTGTCAGTTTTTACTTGTGGTGAGTAGAATCTGCTTTTACACTGCCTCTGGTGCCTTTGTCCTGGACTCCTTCTGTGGATATGATGGCCATGGTAGCAGCTGCTGCTGCCACCGCCATGGACCCTAGAGTGCTTGAATCTGTCTCTGGAACCAAGCTGCCTGAAGTTTTCCTCTCTGGCCAAACTCTTTGTACTATGATGGAATACTTGGTGTGACTCTAGCCTTAGATTTGCCACTGGAACAGTAAAACATTTCTATCTGAGAGCTTATTTAGCCCCCATGTTCTCTTCTGCCATCTTCCTCCAGACTCTCTTGGTTTACATCTTAACCTGCAGCACATTTTTCAAAATTTAATACAACGAATGGAAATAATAATAGAGAGAACATCCAAAGAGACAAATCTAAAAATGATAAAATACTACAACATCTACAAAGCAGCATGATTTTATCATTTAACATATATCCCATATGTTGCAAGAAATGTCCTTGAAGATAAACTTCTCGACCGTAGGAAAAATATTGGCAACAAATAAAATGCATGTAGATAAGGTCTGACTGAACAATCATCTCACTCTCGCTCTATCTTTCTCTCTGATCATATACACACACACCTGTACACACAAACATGCACACGTACATAGACACACACACACAATGGATTTTTTCCACTGTAAAAGAAGGATGCTTTCTGTGAACGGATGATACAAGTATATATTGTTAATAAATTGAAGAATTATTTGGAATATATTTCATATAAAGAAGAAAAACTGATTTGATATTCTAATATAAGTGGGGAAAAACCTAAACTACAAGCATACAGCAAGTGAGTGTGATACCCAGTATCTGTGATACCCAGCAATGTGACAGAAGGATTAGAGATGTGATTTTTCTTTGAGCATGACTTCCTTCATTTTGTTAATTCTCACTTGGTGTGCAATATCAAACTTACACATATACAAAAGGAATAGCTTATGAGAAAAATAAAGGAAGGTCAAATTATGATTCTTTAAGAGGAAAAGGAAAATGTGAAAGTCTGAGAGAATCCACTTTCCTGAATGATTAGTTAGCCATACAGTCAAGTCAGTAGATAATGTATTAAAAATAATATACAAATATAATTCGTGAATATCCAGGTGAATATAATTTGATATATTGAAGTTTGGAATTTTATTTCTCAAGTAATGAATTAAAATTATAAATTAAAGAAGCACCAATCATACAGTTTTCATCTACAAGACCCCAGATCTCTGTGACCAGAAATGTGATTGAGGAAGAAGAGCTGAGACATTAAATAGTACATCATAAGAACACTGAAGAATTCCTAAAACATTTTGTATTCTTTCCTTTTTTGGAACCAAGAAGCAAAATAGTATGTCAAGCACCATTGTCATCTTCATACATAGTGCTCATCTCATGACAAAAGAAAGGGTTTTCTTTTTATTCAAATAAGCTCATGAAAGTCCATCATTTAGGAGAAGATAACAGGGCATCTTCTCCTTCTATGACGATCAAGCAGGTGTTTCCCAGATCCCAGTAAATTAACAATTGAAGAAGATGAGATCCAACTGGAACTGAGAATTTGAAGACAAGCTTTCCTCTTTAACCATCATTTCTTTCTGCCCAATATGTCCCAACAATGACCAGGGAAGACATTAGCCAGAAAAAGAGATGCTGCCAGTTAAAGCTCTTAAGTGCTTGGACTTTAGTTTCTGTGAAATGGTTTATTGAGTCATGACCCATAAAAAAAGAAAAACATCACGTCCTAGGATAAGGTCCTATATCCATCAGTGAAAATACTGAATAGAAGTAGGACCATTTTTCTCTGGATCTAAACACCAAGAGCATTTTTGTCAGCCTTCAAGAAAAGTTCTTGCAATACTTCTATATTAGCTAGAAATGAGACAAGTTAGATTGTACATACAGTGGTCAAGTGTGGCTGTTTGTAAACAATGTATTTGGTGTTTAGGGATTGCTTGGGGTTAGCAGTCTATAAATTCATTGTTAATAAAGATTTCTAATTTATGTGTGAGTGGCTACTCAGGTTTTAGTATTTCAATTAACTTTCCGAACGCTTTTGTCAACTTTCATTCTTTGGGCCTTTAACTTTTAAGTGGTTAACTTCCCTTATCTCTCCCTTCTCCTTCTTCCAGCTTTCAAAATTTAGGAAGATTGTTTTTATCATGTCTCATAAACAAAGAGTGAAAAAAAGTATAGCATAATAAAGACTAACTGAATCTCTAGAGCCCCAAGTCAAGTGACATTGAAGTCTCTCCAGTGAAACCTAGGGAGCATTGGAATCGAGGATTTCCAGGAATGGTGGTGGAGTTCCAGTTCAGAGTCACTAACATCTAACTGAAGACTACAACTCACTAACTCATTCAGCCATAGTCCTAGATGATTCAGAATAAAAACATTCAAGAATGTAATGTCTAGATAACAAATGACATCCATAGAAGTTGATTGAAGAATTATATCCCTCTAATCTATATTGTGTCCTTCCAATGCTGTTACAACGAAGAAGGAAGTTTTCAGTTTGCTTCTTCCCACTTAACCACAAGAAAGGACACATTTTCCCAAGGATTGCTCATGTGTTTGGAATGTTTGCTTATGTATCAAAATGATTTTGGTGGTTTACACTATCACTCATCTTTTTGTTAAGTTATTCTTTCTCTCAAAAGAGTTTCTATATTGTTGTGTTTCCAAAGTTTGGTCCCCTGAATTCACAAAGCTAATTCACAAAAAAAAAATGACATCAGTATGTTGAGGAAAAAGAAAATAAGGCTTATTATTTGTCACATGTCAAATGAGAAGAATAGTGAAGATTTGAAATCAAAGCTCTGTTATCCTACTAATCAGAGAAAAGGTCCCAGTTTTAAGAGGCTGGTCAAGGGGTCTGCTCCAGGCTACATGAAAGATGTCCATCCCAATACTAAATGGTAGCACAATTGGTTCTTATCTCTTGGTTTACTGTTGTCTCATCTCTTTAGTTCTATGTTTGTCTGACATATTTAATAACTTCCTGGTTTGGAGAGATGAGAGGTGACTGTCTGTTTGGGATGAAAGTATGTTGAAGTTGTTTTCCCCATCCTGGGCATGTGAGAGAGGAAGGGGAAACAAATGCAAGTTTGAATTTTTAAACATACAAATTTGGCCAGTAACACAAACTGCCTAGGATGAATACAGAGGAGGGAAAGGACAGGTAGAGGAGAAGTAAGGCAAAAATTTACATTGATGTAAAAATCAGTTTTGGGAATTCTAGAACCCAACAGAACAATGCACTAAATAGATATGTAATGACTTGATTATGGCAGAAGAATCAATGAATATATAACAATATAATTTTTTAGTAAAATATCAATGAAAAATGAACAGACAATTCCTCAGAGAATTATAGGTTAATTTAGTGATTACTATGCTAAGATTGTATATAAAAACTTATAAAGGTAAAGATAAAAATAAGCTAAAAATATTTGAAAAATAACTCTTAAAATGAGATTTATTTTTGCATTAAAGAGTTCTACTGAATCACAATCAAGTAAACACAGATAAAAAAGCTGTTATACAGGAAAAGAGAATCTTGAAGAAAATTATGCCTATTTGCACAGGAAAATTCAATAACGTCCTGGATTAATTTTATCATTAACAATTAAGGTTAGAATATAGTAGAATGTCATATGTGACAATCAATAGAAAAGAAAAGCCAGCCAAGAATATTGTATTCATGACCCCATACCTTAAAATTGAAGGCAAAAAAATAACATTGCTTTTCTAACTGCAAATGAAGAGAAATTGGTATGTGCAGACATACTCTGGCAGAACAAGAAGCCTTTCAGAACCAAAGGAAGTGATAGGAAGGGCACAGAACCTAGGAGGGGAAAAGACCTCAAAAGGATTTCAGAAACAAGAAGCTGAAACCAAATAAAAGTTCTCTCTTCCACTTATGTGATGGTCAAGTCTAGGAAACAAACAAATTATAATGCCACATGTTGGGACTGTCTGTTATGGATTGGAGGGGGGGGCCTTTGCATAACTTGATACTAAATTCCATGGTTTGTCTGAATTGTAGATCTGTGCTAACCATTGTACATTTCTTATTTTTGCTCTCTACATTACATGTAGTTTATACTAAGCAAAATAAAATGGCCAGACCTAAACTTGTAAACAAATACCTAGAAAATAAATAAGAATGACTCAATATTTATGGAAATGCATCCTTATCAAAAAAACTGTAAAACATACTAGAAAGGGTTGAAGAATTAGTCAGCAGACAAGAGCAGGAGGAATCATGAAGGCATTCCCTTTCTAGGGAACTCACATTAGATTTCTATTGCTTTACTTGGTACCAGTTAATGTCATTTGCTCACAGGAGAGGCCCCAACCTCCCGGTGTCTATTTCCATCTCACCTGACAGTTTGTGGCTCACCATTGCACCCACCAGGACATTTGCATATTGCTCCTTAGAGAGGAGCTCCCTTGCAAGTACAACATAAAAGCTCAGCTCTAAGCTTGCTTGGACTGACCAGCATTGCTTACTCTCAAAATGAGGTGCCCTGTTCAGCTCCTGGGGATGCTTATGCTCTGGGTATCAGGTAAGAACACACTAGAGCTAAGGAAGGAGATGGGGAGGGGCTGAGCTCTGCTCCGTGTGTTATGTCCACTCCTGCATATTTGCCCTCTTGAATGGAAATATGTATCTTTGAGAGTGAGGAAGATTCCAGAAAGAGCAAAGCCCCATGCAGTTTTACAAATTCTGGGGTGTGTGTGTGTGTGTGTTCGTCATGTATTTAATGAATATTTTTTGGATGAAACAAAAATTAAAAAAAAATATAGCTTGCAATAAGATAATTGTGAAAATGTCTCATGATGCCTGTAATTAACCCTGTCCACTTTTCTAATTATTTTAGGATCCAGTGGAGATGCTATATTGACTCAGACTCCACTCTCTCTGCCTGTCACCCTGGGAGAACCAGTCTCCATCTCCTGTAGGTCGAGTCAGAGTCTCTTATATAGTGATGGAAACACCTATTTGTACTGGTTCCTACAGAAGCCAGGCCAGTCTCCACAAGCCCTAATCTATTTGGTTTCCAACCAATATTCTGGGGTCCCAGACAGATTCAGTGGCAGTGGGTCAGGCACAGATTTCACATTGAAAATCAGCAGTGTGGAGGCTGAGGATGTTGGTGTTTCTTACTGCTTTCAACATACACATGTTCCTCCTACACTGATACAGCCCTGAACAAAAACCACCATGACTGGTGTAGCAGAACTGTCACATGTAGCCGTTTTTAGGAGCAGCACAACAGCTTTTCTGAGTGAATGTGAGAGCAAGAAGCTAGAGAAGTCAGGATACTAAGTCACTGTTGTGCTCTCTGAGCCAAGCATTTCTGATACCTTTTAGGGATATTGCAGCCAAAGCCATGGCATTGCACAGGCAGCCATATGGCTCCTTTGGCTGATGGGATGATAATGCATCATATCGTTTAATAAATACTCATTCTGATTCCATTTTCTTCTCTATCATTTGTCCACTCGATTTGAACACTACTAATTGTATAGTTAATATTTAAAAACTAGTGCTTTTCAAATAATTCTCATCTTTTGCTGTGGTGTTGGGATTTACCAGCTCAGTATAAACCTAAGCTATATTGTGACTTCCAGCCCTCAAGGGAACATGTGCATACAGCATGTCCAGTTTTGGGAGATGAGAGAGGGCTGCAGGATCAGTGCAGGTCCCCAGCAGGTCACCAGATTCCTCTGCAGTGAGCAGGGCACTGCTTGTGCTCAAGGGCACAGACTGTGTCCTAAGCTTCATCATGCCCAGGCTAAGAGTGAGGGAAGGACAACCGAGTGACTGTCCATTATTCCCTAGATATCCTTCTCAGTTTCAGAATTTAAAATGATAAGTTATACAATTAAATATTAGCTTACCAATCAATTAATTAATACCTAATTTACTACATATAAACAATAGACATATAGCTTTTGCATTCATGCATTTATGAAGTGTTCCTCGATGTTCTGATAAGAACAGACTCCAGTGGATTAAAGACTCTGTTCTTAGGACTTTGCTGACTCTCCTCATTACCCAAGTCCCTCAGAAGCAGTGAGAACGGCCCTTTAGCATCCTTCCAACACAGTCCTGTCCCGGGAGCTTTTTCTAGAGCCAGGAGGCTTTTCTGGAGGTTGGTTTAAGAGCTTTGCGCCGGTTGGCCTTGGCTCTTCTTGGCTTGGGCAGGCCCTTGCTGCTTGCACACGCTGCTCTTGGTCTTGGCGAAGCCGCAGGTACAACTCTCGCCAGGACTCGCACTCTGCTGGGTTTTCATCCTTGAATGCTTTGCAACAGCGGATTTGCCACCGCCTGTCTGTACCACTGTGCGCCACTGTCCTCGGGTGAGTGTTCCCTTGAGGCTGGTGCACAGAAGTGGTATAAGTCTGGGAAATGGGTGCTAGGAGAATGCAGGGCGGCCTGGAGGTGGCTGGAGTGCTGTGTTGCGGGAGCCCCCGGACATCCTGGGGGCACCAGGGAGCGAGGGAGCCGCGCTTTGGTGCAGAGTACAGTGGCATCTTCAGGGACTTTCTTACAAAAGTCAAGGCCATCTCTTCCCCTCCCTCTCCCTGTCCCTCTTTGCCTTCTGCTCCTCTTCCCCCTTCCCTTTCATCTCCGTTTACCCCTTCCTCAAGACCTCCTCCTTCCCCTTCCCCTTCCCCTTTTCCCACTTCCCAGGGCACAGAGGCTCCCGGCGTAGATGAAGAGAAGGAGCACATCCTTTTCATGTCAGGCAGCCGACCCGAACAGGCCTGCAGCCCAGGGAAATTAGAGGTTTCAGTGCTGAGCTGCACCATTGGCACCCTGACTGCTTCTGTGGAATTGACGGCACTGGCTGGATTGGCAGGTGAGATTGGCACCAGCTGTCCCGCCTGGTTTTCCTGGACCTTGCTTGCCCTTGGGCCTGAGCTGTGCACGGAATCCGAGGGTCTTCTGGGGCCGCTGGAGCCATTCCTTTTCAGGCCTCCTTGAGCCAAGTCAGCAGCACGAATCCTACCCTTGGTCCTCTGTCTCCTCGGCAGCAGCTGGGTCTGGTTGAGGGCATCCTCGAAAGATTGTGGAGATGCCCGGAATTCATGCTGTTGCTGGGATTTGCTCTGGTGATTGCACAAGTGCAGCTTCCCTGCCTGCGTCTCTGGTTTGCCAGAGGTCTGCTTGACCTTAGAGGGCAGGGGGCCTGAACCTCTCTTCTCCTCTTCAGAGGATCGGCACCCATCTTTTGGTCTGGCCCCAGCCTGTCCCTGGGGTTCCCAGGGGAGACCTTCTTGTGGGATCCCTGGTGGATCCTGAGACTGCTGGACCGGAAGGCACGCGTTGCCAGGCATGTCCCGGATACCAGTGGGCCCAGGGTCCCGCGAGACTCCAGGGCTGTCCACAGCCCAACGATGAGACCTGCTACTGCCCCCACAGGACTCTGGGTCCACTCGGGGACGCTTCTCCCGCCTGCTACTGGGACAAGGGCTGGCAGACCGCTTGCCAGGTCCCTGGAACTCACACAGCTCCCTGGCCCATGGGGGCTCTGGCTCAGAGTTGGGGCCTCCCCTCCCGGCTGCCGTTTCTTTCCCCCCAGAGCCCCAAACCACACTTGATTCTTTCAACTTGTCCTTTTGCACCCACCCTGACTCTGACAGCCCAAGAGCCTCCTTGCTGGGCTCTTGAGCGCCATCCTGTTCAGAGACCTGTTGCAGAATCGCCGAAAGAAGCGCTGGGTTGTAGCCCAGGAGAGCCAAGGTCTCCCAGCGTGTGTCCAGCTCCTTTGCCATACTGCCCACCAGCGGGTGCTTCCTAAAACCCTTCACCATCTCTCTGACACCCGTGGCGCCAAGGATTTCTGCCGTGATGGGCAAGACCGACAGCAGACTCAAGGATTTGCGGAGCTCCTCCGAGTGTGTGTTGGAGGCCAGGTGCTCTTGGAGCAGCTGCACGGCTCCCCACACCCACTCGGCGGTCTGCGTCCCCATGCCACGCCTGGCCATGTCTACAGAGACACGGGAACCACACACCTGGACTCCTCCATCCAGGGGTTCACTCGCCCTGCTCTGAGAGGACACATCCACATTTGACGCCTCCAACAGGTCCTCCTGCTCCCTCTCCCCATCTTCCATCTCCTTCTGCCCCTCCCCCTGCCCAAGATCATACTTCCTGGGCTCTAGACCTCCATCCTGGTCAGGGACCTGGCTCAGAGCCTCGGATTTGTGGCTCAGCACAGCCAAGGCCTTCCAGTGTTTGTCCGGTTCCTTGGCCAAACCAGGCACCTGTGGGTGCTTCCTAAAACGCTTCACTACCCTTCTGACACCCGTGGTGGCAAGGATTTCTGCCGTGATGGGAATGACTGAGAGCAGCCTCAGGGAATTAAGAAGCTCCTGTGTGTCTGTGCTGGAGGCTAGGCGCTCCTGGAGCTGCCGCACAACTCCGCACACAGACTCGGCATTCTGCATCCCAATGCCACCCCGGACCATGTCTACAGAGATGCTGGTCCCACTCACCTGTGTTCCTGCATCCTGCGGGTCACTTGTCCTTTTCTGAGAGAACGCATCCACATTTGAGGACTTCAACATGTCCTCCGGTTTCCTTGTCCCCTTCCTCTCCCCTTCTCCCAGATCATCCTTCCTGGGCTCTTGACCGCCATCCTGCTCAGGAACCTGGCTCAGAGCCTCTGATTTGCGCCTCAGCACAGCCAAGGTCTTCCAGCGCTTGGCCAGCTCCTTGGCCAAACTGCCCACCTGCTGGTACTTCCTAAAACCCTTCACTGTCTCTCCGACACCCGTGGTGGCAAGGATTTCTGCCGAGATGGGCATGACTGAGAGCAGCCTCAAGGATTTTTATAGCTCGTCGGCATCTGTGCTGGAGGCCAGGAGCTCCTGAATCTGCCTCACCGCTCTGCACCCCCACTGGGCTGCCTCCATCCTTCTGCCAACCCCGTCTATGTCTACAGAGATGCCCAGGACACTCACCTGGCTTCCTGAATGCCGTGGGTCACTCACCGTGCTCTGGGATTCTTCTTCTGGTCGATCGCTGTGAGGCACGTAGGCTTCCTCCTAGTCCTCTCTGCAGCTGCGTCCAGAGTGACCCTGCCCACCAGCTGCCTGCCTTATATAAACTCTTACTGCCCCACCTCTTCCCACAGTTCCTCCTGTAAGCCCCTCCCTATCTCACACCTATCACACCCTTATATCCTAGCAGGGGGTCTCCCAAGATGCACCATGCCTGACCCTCCACAAGTCCCCTCCCAACAACTCCTAAGGATGGGTGTAGACTCTGCCCTTCTTAACGGGATCTCCTGTATCAAGAGATCCCTCACTACTCCTCTGACCTGGGGGACCAGCGGATGGTGCAACTGGCAACTTCCACTAACACTCCCTGTGTCTCCATCCTGTTTACAGGATCCTCTCTATCTGGCCCTGTATTTTCCATCTTTAAAGATAACTCATAACCCTAGACATACTTTTGTAGTTGCTCCACAAACTCCAAGGCTATTGTCGCCGATTTGACCTCAATGTCCTTCATTACCTGATGTGCGTTGGCACTTCCGGGATTGGACACTTGCTGAGGGAGTTGCTGATCCCGCCTGCACCAATCCAGCTAAAGGCAGTGGCCGATTGCCTGGTCAAGTTTAATAAATATATAAATGAATGAATAAATATGTACATGTGTGTGTGTATGTATTTTAACCTATGTATATGTGCAAACATATATACATACATATATATATACACAAGCACATATATTTATACATAATTATTTATAGTTTATACATATATTTATATACATATATATGCAAATCTGTACTGGCCAGTGTCTTTTCCCAGTCTTTCCTTCCTCTTTTGTTGTTCCTTTTTGGTTTGTGAGCTGCTGGCTTGCTAAGAAACTGTTTTGTTTGCTTGCTTTGTTTCAGACACAAGTTGGGAAGACCAAGTTGGACTGGTGCTTTGAAACCTGGGGATTCTGCTGCCTGTAGGCTGAGCACAGGTGTAGACCATTAACACTGAGCTCCTACTCCCTGTGGTTAGGGTAGGTTTTGATCTGAGCTTGTTGGTCCTGTTATGGTAGGAAGCAGGTTGGCTAGATGGGAGAGAGTGCCTTGATCTCCTCCATCACATGATGTGTGTTGGCAGTTCCCAGGTTGGATAATTTTTTAGGGAATTGCTGCTCATGCTTGAAGTAATCTAACTGAAGCCAGTGGTATTTGTCTTCTAGAGATAAGTGTATATATATAAGTGTATTTTCCCTTGTGTATATATGTATATATGCATACATATATACACATATATGTACATACACATATGCAGAAACCTATATAAATGCACATATATTGCATGTATATATGTGTGTGTGTG